AAATGGTTTGTTCAGACAATTAAAGTTTGAAAAATGATTTAAAGCATTTCTGAATTTTGGCTAAAGGTGATATTGGATCATTTCTGATAACACATAGACGCAACACTGTTCATTGGTTGAAAACAAAGATGTAGGGACATTTTATGAAATCTTTTATGACATGTTTCTCTTCCAAATAGCTAAATTAGAAACAATTAGGACAATTATGTCTTTGATATAACTGTTGGCAGTTTATCTGAGACATGATTGGCGCAAGTACACACACATAAAACAATGGTCTTTTCTCCACATGAACGTGAAACAAAGGTGAAGTATTAAAGTTTGAAACTAATTTACATTTTTAAGGAATCCGAACTGGCTTTAAAAAAAAAAGGGAAAAACATTTATTGCACGTGCATGAGTTTTTTTTTTTAAGTAACAAGAGCTCATTAAAAATATAGGGGACACAGTTTGTGACAAGCCCGAGTAAAGACCACGTGGTTTAAACACTAAAGTTTGAAATGGATCCTTTTAGGAAAAATCTCTCAAAGCTTTGCATGTTCTGCAGGCTCTGAAAGTTGCAACTATAAAATAGCTCATGAGACAATTGTAATTGGACATGGAAAAATATAACAAAGTTAAAATTACAGGCCTCTTGTGTTGTCTATATGTTTGTGTATGTTATATGTTTGTGCGTCATGTCCAATACACTACGTTGACCTTAACAAACTGGACCAATACTAACGTCGGCCTGTGTGAGTGGGATGTGAGTGTGATGTGAAATGAGGAGTGGACGAGGAGTGCTGAACGGAGAATGGAATAACAAAAGTTTTCTGTAATGTTTTAATGTGATCATGGAATAATTATTTTTTGTCAACAGCATACGGTGTAAGTACTAGAGATTCAAAGATGACAAGCTTTATTGAACAGGTGTAAAAGTGAGAGTACTCTGGGATGAGTACTCTGAGAAAAGTACTCTGAGAAAGTACTCTGAGATGAATACCTTGCTGAAGGTACTGGGAGCCCCTCCCTCTGCTGTTTGTCCGGACAGGGATTCGGTCCAACCGCAGTGAGCGGTCATTGGGCGGAGGACAACTTTGGTTTGTAATTCACATTTAGGGGAGTATAAAATTAGAAACATACATATTGTTAAGTCTGTATTTGGCTACAGCCTCTGCCCTGATGCCACACACCGTCTGTCAATGCAGTTATGTTTTGCCTAATTGGATTGATTGACAGGCTGCACCATGCGAAGAGAGGGAAGTGGGCGTTTCTTGTGTTCTAATGTTTCTTTTTCAGATGAAAGATAAACTGCACCTGCTTCAGGGATAACACAGTAGTATGGATCATAAGGAAATGAGCCTCTACTTTGGCACCAAAGCCCACAATATGAATTGAGGACGATCCGGGAGGAACAACAGGATTGGAACAGTAATCTACACACACACACAGATGCATGTTTTATACTTTGGACCACGACCAACAGAGGGGAGTATTGTATTGTCATAGGTGGTCATGGTCCTTAACCTTCTAAATCATTAGAAAGAAGTGTAAAACATATATTTACAAGAACAAATAAATAATAGAAAGGGCAGCCTAAAAAAGCAAAATGGGAAAATTATTAAGTAATTTTCGGAGTTGCCAAAATGAAATAAAATTCTATATTTGTCCCATAGTGGGGGTATTTTTCTCCTTTTCCTTTTCCTTGGCTTTTTTCTCTTTGGTCTTTTTTTTAAAACTTTTTTTTTTCTCCGCTTCGTTCCGCTTTCATCGCGGGTCCTCTCTTGTTACCCCGATTATTGTTTGCGCTTTCTGCCTTTATATTTTAACTCGACTGCTTGCTATTTTCCGTTGGTCTTTTATCACTGTTTCCCTGCGCTCTGTCCCTTTCTCTGTCTTTTCTCCCGTGCCGTTCTTTCTTCCTCTCTGAGGCACCGAAAGTCTTTCTTTTGGGTCTCCCTCCGGTTTTTAAGTTCGGGTCTCTCTTCGTAATGTTCTTTTGGGCTGTCTTGTATGTTGTTTACTCTCTTCTCCCTGCATCTTCTCTTTTCTTTTTCTTTTTATTTCTTCTTTCTTTGTGGATTCTTATCTATTCCTCCTATGTCTCTCGATTGTTTTCTCTTTTCTTCTATACCTTATCCGTTCTTTGCTTTGCTTTCTCCGGTTTTTATTTTTCTCTCTATTCGCCGGAACGTTTTCATCTCCATACCTTTTCCCTTTTAACGGTTTGATTCATTTTCCTTTTTTTACTCTTTTTCGCATTTCCTTATTTTCCTACTCTTACTTTCTCTTTTCTCTCACTTCTTTCTCCTTTACTTTTTCTGCTGTGTTCATCGGTAATACTCCTTTCACCATCGTTTTCGTTTTTTTTCTTGTTTCTACTCTTTCTTTTTTCTCTCTTAATTCTTTTGTTTTCCTTTGGTTTCTTGCTTTTTTTCTCCTCTTGCCTTATCTTTTTCGATCCCCCCTCTTCCAGTTTCTTCGTTTTTTTTTCTAGTCTCCGCTTCATTTCTAAATTTAGTGTTGTGCAAATTTAAAAGGAGAAATAATAGCGCTTATAACATCAAACAGATCTACTCTTTAAGATAATAGATCATACAATAATAGAATAGAATGAAATAGTCTGGAGCTATAATGTCATTGGATTCGAGGAGCTATAGGTTGAAAGGTCGCTAGGAAGAGGTGTCAGAATAAACAATAGTAATAATAGTTAGACTAGTGAATAATCAAAATAGTTCTATTGTGGAAATAAGTATCAATAAGGTCAAATTGTTCTAATAACTAAAGTAAAAAGGAATCAAATGGAGTCAGATTTTAGATGTTTTCTGTTTTCCACATCTGTAGGAACTGGTGCAGAGGTGTTTATAGAGAGTAGTATTAAAATGCAGACATAGAACGACAGGCTTTAACACAATTTTAAATCTAAAAATAGCTCAAATATAACATTGCTCTTGACGCAGCCTCTGAGCTGCTCCATTGGAGAACAGGTTAAATGTTATTGTTTATTACAAACAGCTGATGTATTTACACATATTAAGTTTGGGACAAGTCTTTAAACAGTTATAAGCAGCGGACAGAAGCCATGAATGTGCTTTTGTTTATTAAATAATTAAATGCATAGCCTTATAATCGTAGAGAACGTTTTAAAATAGTTAAAATCCCTTTCAGGCAACTTGATTTAGATGTATGTCTTTAATATTGGAGAACGACTGTGTTGTTTTTGGAATTGTCTGAAATACAATACATAGAATAGTGATTTGCAGAACAAGAACCAGCCAATGAAAAATCGTCTATTGCCAATGCAATTGTTACAATCAGAACTCAAAAATTGGGAATATGCTTTGGCTCAAACTACAACCAAGATTTGGAGTCACAATAGAGTGTAAAATAGATAGATGCTTTCAAAAAAAAAAAAAAAAATAGAGATTATTTTTAGACAGGGCCAATATCAAACGGTAAAAAGACCATTTCCTTCATATTATGTCCAAAAGTAGTTACTTCAAAAGTAGATAATGTTCATGAGTGTAGCCTAGATTAATGTAGCTTAGATTAATGAGATAGATTAGAACCAACAGAGATTCAAAAACATTTAAAAGCATTTTGGTTAATTTGAATATAGCACAAAAGTAGATATTTAGGTAGTTTTGAGAATTTTAAGAGCTGTCGATTTGTCAGCAACAGATTAGAGAATCAAAATACCGTTGTATAGGGACTGACCCCAGAGAAACCTGCTAAAATAGATTAGCTCCTGTAACGATAATACCAATTTGATTAATGATGAAGAATCAGAATGACACAGCGGTGGTCATCAAAGAGTTTTGTGAAGGAATGTTTCGAATGTGGTTTTGTGTTGTATTCTTTCTGTATTGGCTCTTCACAGATATCAAGCCTGAACTAAGCACAAGTATGGATGATAAACGACGATGTGGATTGTGACCTGATTTTTAATCAGGTCAAAAGAGGGAAACTGTTGCATAATTAAAATGTTGTATACTAATGATTTTGAAAATAGGCCCTCTGAAGAAGGTGCACGGGGAAAAGCCCCAAGGACAAAGGAATATGCACTCAGGAATCATAGAGATGACCAGCTTTCAAAACGGGACAAATTATTAACTCCAGGAATAAACAAATGCTCTCTCCCACTCTGGACGAGGGCAAAAGTCCAACACAATCAGGCGCCCAGTGGTGGGGGGCATTGTTTGCTCAGGTGGAGAGGGAAGACCAAGACCGGGTCCAGACCAGGGGCCAGACCAGTCCCAGACTGTGACGTCATCGGACCCTTTGATAGAAACTGCTGGGAGGAGATTGGCAGTCAGTCAGCCGAGGGCCAGGAGAGAGGGACATATATAGTTTTAGGAGCACTTTTTGTTGAACATTCTGTATCTGATTGTAAAGATAATTAAATGCAGATGTTAAACGTGAAGATCTCTTGTCTCGCTCTTGCATCGATTTTGGATACGTCAGTCAAAGGGAATTATTGACTTCATCCCACCTGCAGAGGGCAAGGCACCTTTTTCCAGTCGAGCACCATGGCCTCGGATTTGGAGGTGCTTATTCTCATCCTAGCCGCTTCACACTCAGCTGCAAAACGGAAAAAAAAGAAATAACAAACCCTCACATAGTGTCAGTGTGGAAAAATTCCCTTACTTTATTTGCTTACATATTTTTACTGTTTTTGCCTTAGTCGGTGGATGTTTTGGTAGTATTGTACAGCCGTTTTGCCTTGGCATAAAAAAAATCTTCTAATGTGATCTGCCAAGCTTTTAACATACAAGCACTAGCTGTAGTTGAAATTCTGCGAAAGCGACTCCTAAGAAGAATGCAAACAAGAATAGAGGCAAAATCTGACTTTGGTTCATCAGCTCGTCTGCACTGATGCGAGACGACAGCTTCTGCGTCCGCGAGAGCACATCGGTCCAGACAGTTGACCGTGTTTCTTGCAAATGTCACTGATCATGGTTTAGTTTCTGTTTGCCCTGGTTTAGGCTCAAATTCTCTGAAGCAGCTTCTCCACTCTAGATATGACACTTGGGGTTTTCCCAGTGTGCTACCATGAAGAAGCTGCCGGATCAGGTCAGGGCTGGGAATAAACCTCTGCTCAGGCTCTCCCACACGAAGCGTTGGGATACATGCAAAAATCAATGTTTTGTTACATCACAACATTCTGAAGTAGTCGTAGTATAGTTTAAAATAGTGATGGAGGGCAATGATCTGATTATGTGCTCATAATGCTGACAATATACAAAATAAAATATATGCATGATGTTGCTCAGTAGAAAAAACTCCAGTTGAAATATAATCCTATGACACGAGTTTAGTAAAATGCATAGGGTATTATTTGATATATTGTTACACACCTTTAAGTTTATCTCTCTGACAATCTACATCTTTTTCAACTCAAACTTGATCATTGTCTGCTGAATATGTTTTGTGAAAGATTATCTGACCTGTACATTGTTATTCCATATCATCACATCCATCCCTTGTACACACACATACAGTACTGAACTGTGATGCCAAAATGACTGAAGCTGCTGTCAACTGAAAACAAATCAGAGTGCTGCTTTGAGAAAGAGGTGGATAAACACTCTGGAGGTGTCGCCAGTATGCACGTTTGAGCCGCCTTGACTTTCCCAGTAACAAGATAAGGCCCAATATGTCTTCTTTAAACTACTGTAAATGTCAGTTTTGGTTCTCCCCGCTTCTGGGGCTGACCGTTGCCACCTGTGTCCCGCTCCAGACAGCTTGGACCTGCGGTGGGTTACTCCTCTCAAATGTCATGGATCACGCTCTGTTCCACCCGATTACCCATCAGCCCCTGCTCCTGTCTCATATCACACCAGTACCGCGCTCATGCATGTGTCAGATTTCATACGCCCAGATGTGCACATGGATTACTGGACATACAGAGTGAGAAGAAGTGTATGGAATAACCAAAAATGCACCCATGGCCACAGTGATGCGAGAAGATGTCCTTTTGTGTTTACGCCACAAGACATGCACACACGCACACACACATACGCAAAAACACACACAGATGTACATAAAAACAAACAACACACACTCATACAGTACCATGTTTCTATTGCCAAAACAGAGGTGTATTGTATTCAACTCCATTGGTGTATAGGTACAACTGTGTCAACACTACTGGACGAATTGGGCTACAACCAATGTTGAGGGTTTTACAAAATTATTACATCAACGGCCATGAAAGTGGATGCCAATTTAATTCAAATATACTGATTCTTGACAAAATGTATTCAAAATCAAATTGTTTATTAACAAAAAAGCGGTCTCAGACAATTCCAAGGGAAGGAACTCCTTTCAATGTACTTCTTCTTTCCATTATTTTACAGAACTAGTTGGTCAAAAATGTATATTTTTCATTAAATAGATGATGCAAATAGATACATAAATATAGATTCATGAACGCCATGACAATCGTTCTGTGTCTGAAGAGCAAAGTTGTAATTCAGAACACCATTATCCCTGGAATTACATCTAATTTTCACCTGAGCCTTTTCACGACGGCAGTCATACAAAAGCTGGACTGGCAATTACAAAGATAATTACTCCCTTTGCTAATTACACAAGGCTAATTGTCCTCCTTAATTAAAACTTATTGTAATTAAATGATTATGTCGTTCAACTCTGATTGTGTTCCATAAAGCCATACCTCTGCCAGCTGCCCATTTAGAGCACATTATAGACAGATATGGGCATATGTAGTTAAAACACAATTTTGGGATATCATCCACTTTATGCCAAACTTTATCATTGAGTTCATTGTTTTCTATTTTTTTTTCTTAAAATCCACCGAGAAAGTTTTATTGTAATTTCAGAATTTGTGACGAGCCATTTGAGGTCAGGTCATACAAAAGTCATGTAGAAGAATCTTTCAGCTGATATCTGATCCTTGAGGAACATGGCTTTATGTAAGTGGGTGAATTCATCCATGGAATATAAATGCCAGAGATTATGTCAAATTTGAGTTAATCATTCACATTTCATATACACAGTTTTAAAAAAAATCTTTGGGGTATGTGTTTTTCAAACCAAACTATCTCTTACCAAATTAAAAGACCAATCAGATACAACCTTCATGTATAAGGTAAGAGTTGTTATACATTCTTATTTTAAATAGTCCAAGGCTTGATTCACTGCAAGCTCTGAGAAGAAATCCTCTTCTTTTGTCAATCTGGTGCTTTATAAAAATTATTCATCCAAATTGTATTGTGTACAATGTCTGAAACCTTGATAAAGTCTGATGACGACATTGACATCCTGTGCTCTATTCTACTCATTTTCATAACAGGTTCAATAAAACATTACATACAGTTGAATTTAATTGAAGTACTCAACATTTTAATAAATTCACTTCCCCAACCATAAATCACAAATCTAATTGCCGACCAATCACAGTGAGAAAAATGGAAATTCAATTGTTTGTGTTATTAAGTGTGCAGCCTTATAGATAATTAATTAAAGAAGCTATACCCAATTTTTTTTCTAAGTAGTTGATAAAAATGCTTATTACTACATACAAGTTGTATTATAATCCATAATTTAATTGAAAACTTGAGGTAATGTATTCAGCTGTCTAAGAATTACAAGCAGTAAAAAGTGCTGAGTAGAGTCTGAGCGGGCCGTTTGTTCTCCTCCACTCACAGAACGAGCGGCGACCAGCCTGCATCCTCTAGCCTCTTCAGCGCTGCTTAAAAACTAGGGCTTCGGCTTCAAAATTCGAATATAATTCTAAAATTAAAAATATATATATATATTCGAACACATATTAGACAGCCCTTATCATTCGAAATGTATTCAATAACTGCAAATAAAATAGTTAGCTCCCAAGGGTTCCACCGGGACGTGCTAGGCAGGTAACAGCTAAGCTAGCTAGCTCCCTGGAACTACATGTCAATGGTTACTTCCGGGTTTTTCGCGATTGCCTTTTGTCAAATTAAAATAGTAATTTGGTCATGAAAACGATAACAGGAAATTCTGAAATCGTCCGTGCATGTGTGTTAAGGATGTATAAGTATACTGTATTGTCCGATTAACATTTAATGGAGTTGATTGATTGATATGTAGCTTCTCTCGTTGTGCTTGCAGAGTAATGGCAGTATTTTACACACCTGAATTACAAACAGAGATTGCATTTGATTTGAGAGTTCTGTTATCAAGAAAAAATGATCGGTAGAATTACATTCAAGTCAATGGAGTGTTCTACTGCTGCTGTGAGGAGCTGTATAATAAATTATAATTAAATATTCGAATATATTCTAATGTTTTAATGAATGAATTTGGATGCGAAACTAGCCGTATTCTTTTACCTATATATTGTGTTAGCAGTGCGTTGCTTTAGTACCATTTCATCAGTGATTGTTGTACAGCTTACAAGAAGTTGTGCTAATGCTAATGTTAGCATACATGTCAGATCGCAAACTGTGCTAGATGGCCCTGTGTTATGAGAGCGTAGGGGAAATGAGAAGCCATTGAGCGAGTTGGGGGGCGGTGCTAAACATTCAAACCTTGCAGAAACGGGTATAGCTCCTTTAATAATTCTTTGTCATTTTCTTCTGGTCTGGTCCTTTAGCTAGTACCAGTCTGGTTTCACATATAGTTTGGTTCTTTTCCAGTTTTTAATAATCTACATATATATTTGGCACTTGCCAATAGTTTATAGAACTGCCAAAGGCACATTGATATTTTGTTTAATTATAATGCTAAAATGTATAGACAATTATAAATAGTCTTTACTATTTTCATCTGAAGAAGTGCCTCTTCCACTTGTGCAGCTTCATCACCTGCTCTTGTCATCCGCTGTCACACGTGATAATGAAAGGCAGGTCACAGCAGCCAGACAGCTGTCACTCAAAGACTTTCCTGTCGTGTGAAAAGACAGGGATAGAACACAGAACAGATCTATTCTTACAGCCAAAAGGAATTGTCTATGTCCTGATGTTTACTAACTTTATAAACAGACAGACAGAAAAATAGTGGAATTAATCATAAATCATTGTCTATGTTTATGGTTAAACTTCTACACCAACAGGTCTTGTTTCCTTGAACAAGGATTCAAGAAGATTGCTATTACAACACTACATCATCGTTAGAGTGAAACTGCCTGTCTCACGACGGTCAAAGCCCAGCTCAGTCCTACAGCCTTAGACTTGACCCGGGTCGAGTAGGTTTCAATGGTTGTAGGTAGGGATGCACCAACTGTGAAATTTTGGGCCAGTAACGATGTTGTGTTTAACATAACAATTTAGCCGATGGCTGATGTTTGGGCGAAGTTTTTTTTTGTTTTGTTATTTATATATACTATTTTCTTGGCAGCTTTGGTTTTCTGTTTTTCTTCAGCTTGCATGCAATTGCTGTACACCGCCTCATGCTTGCTTCTCAAAAGCCCATTGAGATTTGTTTTGTTAAATTATTTTGTAACAGTCTCCCCTCTTGAAATCTCACTGGAACGCCCATTGTAAACTGCATAACTCTGATACTTTCAAATATTTCCACACGGCCGCTGCCGTCTTCTTTTTTCTTCTACTGAGGAAATTGTGCAAATTTCCTCTACGGTATCTATTCACGCGCACCGACCATCGGCAAATGTATATTTCTTTTGCCCATGGTAGTTGAAAAGACTAACATCGGCTGATACCAATGTTGCATCCCTAGTTTTAAGCCTCACTATGATTCATTTATTGTGTGGATGAACCCACACTAAAAGTGATCACTGAGCCCATTTCAGCACAAGACAGTCCCAGAACTGTGAAAGTAGATGGAATTTGCAGATTTTGCTTTTATCAAGTCTAAGTCTAATTACTTATTTATTTACTTATCCTAAACATGATTATCTTTCTGTAGTCCGCATGCGCTGTGACATGGAATGACACCGTCTGATAATCTCCCTAAATTAGAAATTTGTGACATTACATTTTTTATAATAACCGTCACTTCTTTCCATTAAAAAATCAACCAGCATGGAAGCAGTGCATGCACTTCATCCTCAAGAATGACCCTTTGCCTTTGTGCCTCTGAGCCTGTATATTTCACCGCCAACACCAGGGCCATTAGTCACTGTTTTTTTGTTTTGTTTTTTTTCCAGGGCTATCACAAGCTTTTGCCCCGCTCGTCTGTGATGTACGATCAAATACAAAACCGTGTAGACGTCTGTTGATCCGAATGCGTCTGCCAAACTCTACCTGCTTTCATTTGTGAACATTAATCAACAGAAAAAACGAAGCCCGTGGTACAGCAGATGGCTTTTGAGAACAGATGTCGAGCAATCCAACAGCATCAATCACCCACCACAAAACGTTAGGACTCAGAGAAACATTTGCAATGGACTTTAAAGTGTGTGTAATTTGTAATAACTTTGCTCATTTGTTAGAGATTGTCATGCAAACACTCAGGACATAACTATTCATATTGTGTCCTTGGGCATGACATCTAATGTGGGAAAGCTTCAGATGTTTGTTCATGGAGTGGTGCATCTTTGATTCAACTAGTAATGGTTTGTACACAGCTTGAAATGCTCACATTCTGACTAAGATCATGAGGAAAAACATGGTTCCATGGTGGTAACTAATGAAAGGATTAATAAAGGACACTTTCATTGCTAAATTGATTTCATAATCATACTGGGTTGGTAGGCAAAGATGACAATTTATCACTCAATCTTCTTTACCGTTATATGGTCATGATCTTTTGATAAGAACAATATCAAGGAAACAAGCGATTTAAATTAGTTTCCTCTGCAGTGTCTGGGCGCTCCACACTGGCAAAGCTTGCGGTTGAGCTGCTGCTCCTCCACGTGGAGAAGAGGCAGCTGAAGTATATCGGGTATATATTTTGGATACCTCCTTGAACAGGTGTTCTCGCAGTTCTCCTGGGAGATTTTCCCTGAACTGGTGGAGGGGCATGCGAAAAGTGCCAAACCTATTTTAGTCTTACTGTAATTATTGTGCCAGATGACATCTTTTTTGCATGGAGTTTGCATGTTCTTTCCATGAATCAAGGAACAAAAGTTTTCAGTCATTTTAAGTAAAAGTGTAAGGTGTCTTCACAGTGTGCTTGTAAGTCAAATGCTTAGAAAGCTAACAACCTCTTCCGTGTTTACTTCTGTCACAGAAGTTGCTCCGTACCTGCGTGGTACAGCTCGAGTCCAGCAGGTGGTACTGGAAGGGAACAGGCTGGTGCTGAGCTGCCTGGCTGGAGGGAGCTGGCCCCTGGAGTACCGCTGGAACCTCAACGGCAACAACATCACCGACTGGTCCAATCAATACAGGTCAGACATGCACTGTGTTTACATGGGAAGACATATGGACTACGCTAAGAACCTAACTCCTTTCTTCTTTGTTTTTAAACTAATCACGTCATTGTATCCCAGCCTCAAGCAGGCAAAATGATACAATATATCAAAATGGGAATTTTCATCAGGGGTCTAAATCTGTTTACATAAGTGTTCATCAGGGATACATGAAAAACAAAAGGTCAAAGAAATTGCTTGATCGGCACAGTGCCTTTTGAGATGGCTTCATATTCTCATGAAATTTGAGCTGTAATTTCTATCTGTGTTTGCCTATCATGGATTTATTGAGGTACAGAGGTTAGCTCATGTGTTTCCTACTCAAGAAAGTTCTCGTTTCAATTCCGGGATCAGACATGGTTTTTCTGTCCCACTTTTGCATGTTCTCCCCGACCACTAAAACATGTACACTAGTTTAGGGTGAATGAGTTTGTGTTTGTGAGTGTGAAACAACATGTAAAAATGATCCCAAGGCGATGGTCCGGTGTGTATTTAGATTTTTGTTGCCATAAGTGAACGTTTATTGACTGCTTTGCTCATCCCACAAGTGATTTAACCATGTTAGGAGCTTCAAAAACCTTCTTAGTTTACCTTATAGAACATCTGTTGTTTAATCACTTCTCAGGCAGCTATGGAAACGCTCTTTGAGTTAACTATAGCCAACAGATTTCTTCAGACTGGGTAGTGTCCCAAAGGAGTGTACTATTGGACAGATAGAACGATTTAAAAACTCCATCGAACGACTGTTAGTTTCTGTTATATGGCCAGCTCTAAGACACAGGTATGTTTTAAGAACAAAACAAAAGGTGCAGTGATAGGAAGGAAATAATGGAGATTGTTAGCAATCTCAACATCTGGCTATCCATATTTTAAGAATACAATTTGGACTGAAAATGTGGAGGCAAAAGATAGTATGCAAAATTAATCTTACTTACATCAAGTACATAAAGTAAATTGCTGTTTTTTGAGTATTCATTCATCCATTAGGACAAGTTCTGGTTCAGTTTAGAGAAATACAGTGTACTTACCTCCAATTAAAACCAGTGGACAAAATATAATAGTTTTGGGGATCACCACTTGCCACTAATGTCATTTTGTTGTTCTTGTGACAATGCAGTTAAATTATTGAATCTTGAATCTTTAGAAGCTCAAAGAACAAACTTCAATCTTTTCTCGCTCTCTGTGAATACCTGCTCCCATTGGCTTAATCTTGGCATCTGTATTGGGATTTTCCCCCATGTAATCTTTGTCATTGCCAATAACAATAACCCTAGAACCTGATTAAAAGTTTATTCCACCATTTAGTTTACACCTTTTGGAGAGACATTAACATCTTGGACTGAAATTTTGCTTTTGGTTCTGCACTCCAACGCTCTTTAGCTGTTGTTAAAACGGATAGTTAGGCACACAAAGATGATGCATCCAATTTGGGGACAACAGATGGGCTCTTTCATACAAATCAATGCATTTCTGTTTTGTGTACACTGGCAAGGCGCACCAACAGCCGGGGAGTTAAACCCTCACCCCTTCTGGGTTTTATAATGAGCCCCGCGGTGATGTCCAGTCTGCTTTCCCAATGCTTTACAAGTTGCCAAATCCTCCATTAGACAAACTCAGTGCAGTGAAATAAGTCTTTAAAAAATGTTTGTAACACATGGTTTGGCATGCGTGGGTCATGGGCATCCCCTCCCACTTGTATGGTGTTTTGGAGCAAGGTTATGGCGTCACATATGGACACACAGAGGAGTCCTGGTTTTGCAATTTAAACTTGACACTTGCCACACATTCAAGCACTGGTACTGTAAATCCATCCATCCATCCATTTTCTACCCTTTAATCCATTTCTGGGTCAGGGGGGTGGCAGTCAGAGATGCCACCCAAGTCTCATAGCACCAGCCCCTCACTGACCCTCTGCAGGTGGTGAGTCCACAGGAGGACGGCTGCTCTCTGACTGTGAGCATAGCCTTGATCTTTCAGTGGGGGCTTTGTACTGTAAATCGTTTTGGTTAATGTTACTTATACTGAGTACTGTGACATGTACAGTTCTGCTAAAATGTGACCTAAATGAAACAAAGTAGGGTACAGGGGAAAACGTAGGGTACAGGTGAAAACTTGGTTATGTAAACATGTTACAGTAGGTCCCATTTCGTTTTGTCGCCTTTCACGCGTGAATCACACGAGACTCACGTGTGATTCACGCGTCTTTTATTTGTTTTTTTCCCAGTGATGCTGCAATGACCCAAACAACCACCAGGTGGCACTTGTGAGCAGAGAACATTGGCTTCTCACTGCTCATTATTCTCTCTTCACCGGACGATTTACTGTGGTTATAGCTCATTGATGAGGAGATGGACTGTGGTGCCAGAGGACTTAGGTTCAAGTACAGGCTGAGACACTTTTGATTTTGTTAACGTTTACATTTTTTCTAAAACATAAAAGGTCCAATGCCCCAGAAAAAAATAATAATAACCACACACGTTTATTGCAGTAATTTTTGTTAATACTTTTCACGAGGAGTTAGTGGACATGTGTGCCTTTAATATGAGCGGCCTTTGTGGGAATGGTTATATTCAAAGTATTAGAGTAAAATGAGTTTGTAAAACACCTGCGGCGCAGCGACGCGAAGCAGGAGCCGTAGTTCTGAGCGGTGCCAGAGCAGAGCCAGAGGTCTACAGAGATCAGAGAAGTATTTGGTACTGGCTCACTCAGATTCAGAGGAGGAAGACACGCAGGTCTCCAGTGAAGCAGATACAGACATTATTAGTGACAGGAGTCCGCGCCACAATAGTCCACAGTCACCCACAGTTTACGTCCTCCGCGTGGCCACCGCGGTAAAGAGGTCCGGCTTTTCAGAGTCAGCGGTAAAGCGGTCCGCACATTAAAAGCGGATAGCCTCTTTATGCTGTTAATTACAGCAACATTGGAAAGAGAAGACGTGGGGATGAGCCGCCACAATGCACTGTTTAACATAAAGCGGCCACCCGCTTTGAATGTGCGGACCTCTCTACCGCTGACTCCGTAAAGCCGGACCTCTTTACCGCGTTGTGCGGCCACAGTGGAAACATTCTGCGAACACCAGACAGGAGATGTGGTGAAGGGAACAGGGGGATCATAACACCGGCCATATGGGTGAATGCAGCAGGGTTAAACAACCGCGGGGAACGCAGGAGACGTGGCAGAAACCACGAAAGAAAACGCACCGCTAATCTGCCTTTACGGACGGAGATGATGAAGGCAGTTCTTTAGAGAAGATAATCCATAAAAGTGGATCAGAAATGTTGAAGAGCCTGTTGTTTATTGTTGAGACAATCTGACAAGTTCTGAGCCCATTCATTTAATCGCTCTGTTTCTAAACGATGAATTCTGGAGCCTCATTTCCACTGAGATAAACTGTATGCCACCAGGTCTTTTGAAAGGGTAATATTGAAACCAAAGTGCAGATTTCATGACTGGTAAACTATAAGCAGTGCCATCTTGATCATTGAAGGTCTAATACAGTTCCATATGGCCGTGGACCAGTGCTAAAATATTCTATATAAATTTGATCAGTGAATTTATTTCTATCCCACATTGTGTTTTCATACTAAAGATATTTCACGTAGACTGTTGATGGTATTCCCTGATCTCAAAATACACTCTCAAACTACATCTTTTTGAAATCTTTATACAATAATTAACATTTTCCAAAATGGCCACCACCTTGATGACGTCACAATATGCAAATTAGATGACGAATCAACATCCATCCCAAGGTTTGGTTCATACTGAAGATAGTTCTCATTTACAAAATGCCTTTATCTCAAACTTTAAAGTTATAGCCTTTTGAAATCTTGAAATCAAAATTGTAATTTTTTTTGAAAAAAATGGGCTTAGTGCTGTGTGAAAATCCCTCGTCAAAGGCCTGGGCTCCGCACCGTGCTCCTCTTTGCTGTCATCGTTGCAACATGTCCAGAAGTTCAACTTTTTAGCACTAACCATGTTGTGGGTTTAGTCCACGGTTTTGTCAAGGAGATAATTAGCATACAACACTTACAGTCACACTGCAATCAGACATGGATTTACATTTGTCAGGCTGAATGCTGTGATACAGGAAACACGGCACAGAGATTACCCCTTAGCCAATCAGGACGCAGAACACAATACACTAGTTCTTCCTTAGCCAATCAGGATGAACACACCAAGTTCATATACAGTGAAAATCACGCTTAAAACTAAATCTGCAAGACCTCAAAAAAGAGAACCGCTATTCAGCTGAGGAGACTCCTATTCAGAACACATTATTCCTGTATGGAAGTTTCTGATTTGGTGTTTTTATGTAATTTTTTTACTATCATCATGTTTCAGATTATAGATTAGACAGTGAGCCAGATCAGATGTATCCCAATTAGGGCTGGGATAAACGATTATTTTTTAAACGATTAATCTAGCGATTATTTTTTGATGCATCGATTAATCTAACGATTATTTTTTTTCGCTTCGATTCGATTTCAATTCGATTCGATTCTCGATTATCTCCCCATTAATTGACTAATATTGATGTATACATGTTGATTTAAATATTTTAATGAAAAAAACATGAATTCCTTCACAAAAAATATTTATTGCTTGCTCTTAAAATTCAAAAATAAGACATTCTTAGAGGTAGCATAAAACCTTAAGCCTAGCGTACATCGGACTGGCAACTGATTATATCCGTCCCCTCTGAGTTGCTGCCCCGCACACATCGACAATCTGACGAAAACGGGCAACTCCCAGTATCAGACCAGTCTCGGGAATAACAGCGCTAGTGTGTGCGACCTCTGGACAGAGCAGTCGCATTCTCTTGCTGCTCCTCGCTTTCTGCTTTTTTATCTCCTTTAATCATTTTTGCTTACATTTTTATTCCACAAAACACGGATTACTCCTTTTTACAAACTTCAACACAAGACTTGTGGAATTTACCTAACTTACAGCATGTCGGGAGGACGGGAAAACAGAAC